AAACAACATACCCGTGGCGGCGTGCCACCCGATCCGCACAAAAAGAATCTATAAGAAAATACTTACCGAGCTAGAATGCTCATTACTAAAAAAAATATCTGAATATCGGACACAAGCATGCTCAGTGCATAATATCATCCTTGGAAGGACCGACAACGCCATACGCTACAAAACCCAAGCACAACTAAGGTGCGATATATGATCTAAATCTCGAGAGCCATCCTGCTCACATAACACTATCGCTACGCGGAACCTCATCACATAAGAAATTTATCAAGCCGTTTCATAACTCATACGACACAATATAGTATTACATGAAATAACTGACGACGAAACGACATCCAACGTCCGAATACTCCTCTATAGGGAGCTTTTATGCCGAAATGAACACATTCGGCCTGATATAGAGCCCGTATTCATATTTAAATCCATCCACAGACCTCAAGCCGATTCTGATCGCACCGTACTAGGCTAATAACCTTTCAAGGATCCATAATACCTTTTTTTCCCATAACACACAAGAATAGCCATCATAATCGGAACAAACTTCCACAGTCCACACCAAATGAACCGAGCGCCCTCCATGCATAAATTCTCAAATCAGCGATATTACCACAATCTTCATACTTGGTTTCAATCTTCACTCAATCAAGTGACTACATGTCACTCTTACACAATCTTTCCGCGAGACACGCTCCCACGACCTTTCGCATCAGGTAACAAGTCTGCACATCTATGCTACCGGTTACACTAATGTTGTAAAGCATATCAAGAATCCACAAATCAATACATAAGGTCTCTTACACCTGACATCGACCTTAGATGATGCCAAAAAAATACCATCTTACTTTAAACATCTAAATCCCTTTCCTGCTCATCCGAGCTCATGACATCCTTGTCAACACCGAACCGAAATCTTAAATCCTCAACTTTCGAATCCCATGCTACTTAGTGCACTTAACCACGCCAATGCGCAGGAGTACAAGAATTCCATCATAACTCCCGAACCACTAATAGGGTAAACACTTCATCATATAGAAACCTTCTTATTAACTCATTTCAAGAGAACCATTGCAACATGTGACTGAATTCCCATATCCGTAGAAAATACCGGCCTCGAGTAGTGGTCTAAGCCACCATAACTTTTCTGGGATCCCTCTACACATAACGTGCCATAATACTTGAATTCCTCCAGATAAAATCAATTACGATGGCCGCCAAGCCTCGCACGTACCGCCACAAATTACATGCATAACTCTATGCGCTGAAGGAACTGGTCATTGCCACCATCATGCCGATTCAACCATTGTTAGCCGACCCGTCTTTTCTCAATTTACTCTCAACTTGCCTTAGAAATAATAATAGCTCCATTCATTACATCACGAATTCAAATCCGTACTCATCCTAAGTGACCTTATTTTACGAGATCACGCTATTTTAAAACCCACTAATTATCTCATATCCCTTCTTGTGCGCACTTTTTACATCTTCAAATGGTACACCCATTCTGATATTTCTTTTATGAATCCGAAATTATTTTCTTCCGTTTCTCTAATGCTACACCACAACCTGAAGATAACGCAGGGTACTCCAAGCCCCATTTCATAATCTGCTGCAAAAGCTCGATACTCAACCATACTGGTCATTGCAAAAGCTTGAACTTAAACATTTTAATTTTTCATCAAAATTCCATATCTCGGGCTAGGAACCTCGGAATTTGATTCCGGGCATATTCCCATGTCCCAAATTACGATACGGACCCATCGAAACTGTCAAAATACTGATCCGAGTGTGTTTGCTCAAAATATTGACCAAAGTCAAACTTGGCCTTTTAAAGCCAACTTAAGGAACCAAGTGTTCCGATTTCAACCCATACACTTCCAAATCCCGAACCAACCATCCCCACAAGTCATAAATCATTTAAAGCATATACGAAAAGTTTTATTTAGGGGAACGGGGTTCTAAAAGTCAAAACGACCGGTTGGGTCGTTACACTTCCCAAAAATTTAACTTTTGGCATTTCAAGCCTAATTCCACTACGGACCTCCAAATGATTTTTCGGACACACTCCTAAGTCCAAAATCACCATACAGAGCCATTTACATCATCAAAATTCTATTCCGGAGTCGTTTGCTTAAAAGTCAACTCTCCGGTCAACTCTTTCCATTTAAGCTTCTAATTAAGGATTGTTTATTTTAATAATTCTGAATCTTCCGAAAAATCAAACTCGATCACACCCGCGGGTCATAATACTTATTATGAAGTTGCTCGAGACCTTAAGTCGCTGAACGAGGCGTTAATTCTTAAAATGACAAGTTGGGTCGTTACACACACACCTGTATCCTACCACGTGCGTCACCTCCAAACAAACCACATAACACGTATATTCAAGGTTCATACCCTCAGCTCTAAGTTTACAAATGTTACTTACCTCGAGCAAGCCGAATCTGATGCCGAGTAAGCTAAACAATACTCCAAAAATTCCATTTCGCGTGTATCAACCTCTGAACGCCTTTTTATCTCCTCAATTCCAAGCCAAACGATCCGAAACTAGTCAAACAACATGCAAATTAATCAAAATATACTCAAATGCTTACAATTTAACAATTTATCTCCGCTCGAAAAGTTAACCAAAAGTCAACGGCGGGGTCGACGTCTCGGAATCCGATAAAAAATATAAAATTCAAACCCCCATGCAACCACGAGTCCGACCATACTAAAATTACTCAAATTCGACCACAACTCGGCCTTCAAATCCTTAATTAAAGTCTATGAAATTTTCTAACATTTTCAACAAAAACACTAATTTGTTGATAAAAACAACAATAGATTCGTGTAATTTAACCAAAATCGAGTTAGAATCATTTACCCCAATTCATACGGTAAAAATTGCCTAAAAATCGCTTTAATCCGAGTTCCATAGCTTCAAATATGTTAAAAATGACCGAAACTCCCATTTGACACATGCGATTTGCCTCTGCCCTAGAAAAACAATAATATTTTTCGACACGAAAATGGGCATAACTCTCTCATACGATGTCCGAATTTGACGATTATTTTTGCTATGGCTCCATAATTTCAATACGGATCTAATGCTTCAATCGAAACTGAATTTGGAACTCATTTGCTTAATGTAGTACCGTTTATGCTTGAAAAAACAACGTCGAAATATTCTAGAAATATCCAAATTAAATTCCGGTTATACGCCCAAGTCCAAAATCACCATCCGGATCTAACGAAATCATCAAAACTCCGATCCGAAGTCGAATACTAAAAAGATAAATTTGGTCAACTTTTTCAGCTTAGGGCTTCCAACATGGATTCATTTTTCCGAACATGTTCCGAAACACCTGAAAATAAAACCGACGATTCATACACGTCATAATACATCATATGAAGCTATTCAAAACTTCAAATAGTTTAAAGGATGGTAAATGTTCGAAACGACAAGTCAGGTCGTTACATATACTATACAAAAAATGAAGGGATCTCACATTTAATATTCGTAATATATCTTTTTCTTGCGAAGTATTCATTGTTCTCCTAATTTAAAACTAATGAGTTATGCATTTCAATTTCTTTTTTTAAAATTTAGCTAACACACTCAGGTCTAAAAATTGGAAAAGTAAGTACTAATAAATTTCTTAATTTCCAACTATTATCAAGTTTAAATTAATTTTATTACACAAAAGTAACAAAACCAAAAGTCTTAATTTCTTAGTTCATCAGGGTGATAAATACACTCCATCGTTAAACAAAGGAGAAGAGATTTATTCTAAGGGCATGTTTGGAAAGTCTCCCGATAATTGGATTTGGTGTAATTACTAGGGTAGTAATTATATAGCCTAGTAATTACACAACCTAGTAATTACGTTGGCATGTTTGTTTGTCATAACATAATTACAATATAATTACAAGCGTGTTGTTTGGTTGCACGAGTGTAATTATATGGTTAGATTAAATTTTAAATGAAGTAATTATCAAAACATAAAAGTTATAATAAATCTATGTCTATAAATATTTTTTTATAAGTATAAATGATATTAGATCTGATATTTAAGATGCATATTTTTTCTTGAATATACACTAATTAGTAATCATATATGTATAACTAATATTGTAAAAATATTTAATATATATTTTCCAAATTAAAAATATTTTGTTTAATTAATTATAAAAACTAAAAACATATGTTTGTAAGAACATAATGGAATGCATATTTGATAAAATAAATTAATATTTATAAATATAATATCATAATATTATGCAAATATTTGACAAAACTAAATTCTAACTAAAAAATGAACAACATGCAATGTGAAATAACAAGTCAATACTACTAAAACAAGAAAATTGGAACCATAAATATAACACAATTTCAGAATCCCACAAAAAAAATTATTTTAACATATGTCAAATTCCAACATAATAAAAATAAGCTCCAATACAACTTTAGAATAGGAAACATAATAAGTTTATAATCTCATTCAATAACAAAATTCTACTTTAATGACATCACTCCTTATATGCCATGTTTGTTAATGAATCATTATTTTTAATATTAGGAGGTGTAGTTTCAAAATCTAGAATAATAACGCAGATACGCAAAATGAAGAAAATAAAATAAATAATAAATAAAATATACGAGCAATTGCATGTAATCACAAGAAGTAAAGGTAGAGAAATAAAATATAAATAATATACAAAGAAATATATTTTAAAATTTAAAAATAAATAAATAAAAAATTCAAATAAAAAGAAATTAAAATAATGAAAATAAAAAGTTATAAAGAAACTAAATAAAAATAAAAATAAAAGGAAATAAATTAAAAAGTAACTTTGTAATTATATATTATAATTAACACAAATTCTCACGTACTCTCAGAATTGTAAAGCGTAATTACACATCTCAAATTATACGTAATTCTATGCTGATGTGTTAATTACTTGTACCGACAAACATCACAAACTATATAATTACACAGAATTACGGCCAAATCCAATTCCGAGGGCTTTCCGAACACGCTCTAAATGAAAAGAAAATTTCATTATTAGGAAGTGGCTCCCTCCCCCTCCCGTTTCTTTGAGAAACCCTAAACTCTCCCCCTTCAACAAAGAGAGAGAAAGAGAGATAGAAAAACCCTAGCACCGAATTGATTTCTCGAAAGCTAACAAACCGGCATACGTTGATTACTTCCGATTGACTCCAACTGCAAAAAGGCGGAAGGAATTTAGGTTTTCTTTTGAGGAATAATGGGGAAGAAGAAGAAGAGAGCATCCGATAAAGTATGGTGTTATTATTGTGATAGAGAATTTGATGATGAGAAGATTTTGGTTCAGCATCAAAAGGCTAAACACTTCAAATGCCACGTTTGCCATAAGAAGCTTTCCACTGCTGGTGGCATGGCCATTCACGTTCTTCAGGTTCACAAAGAGACCGTCAGCAAGTGCGTAATTTTTTAATTTTAATTTTAATTTTTATTTTCTATAATGATAATTCTCTAGCTACATTCTCAACTCTGCCCTTTTTAGCTCTCTGTTTTCATAGATGTCTTTTCGCATTGAATGTGGTATTTGTATGTTTTGCTGTTGCTGCTGTCAACATACTAGCTAAGTTTTGCCTTACCTTAGCTCTCATATAGTCATATATAGATGATTAACTGATATTTGAAGTAAATACTTCTAAAATGATGTTTACAACAATACACTTTTACCAATTCCATAATAGAAGGAGAAGGATTTGTTCTATTAACTACCGGCATCCTCTCAATTGTGACCAATTAACTCTGCCTACCAAGGCCAATGCAGATGGAGGAAATCACCTGGTCTTTCTTTTCTGTGTCTCCTGAGTAGCAGGATGAACATAAGTAGTCTAAAAGGATGTCTTTCTTTTAATGTAATTCTTGGTATGAACAGGAAATACCAGTGTGTATAGATGATTTGGATAGGTAATTAGGATTTGTTTCAATCTATCTAAGTTTTGTTGGGTAGAGTTACTCGGTACTTGTGCTGGCGGGAGGTAGTAGGTATATGAAAAAATAGTCGAGGTGCAAGCTTGCTTAGACACAATTTTTATAAAAGAAAAGGTGATTGTTGATTAGCTTCTATAGACTTTCCCAACTTGGCATGTTGTATGAATGCCACTTCCTTTACATGATTTATCCAAAAGCAATCAATTTTAGAGGATTTACATTAAACAAATTGAATATATAGTAATTTAAATTATAATTTGTCTAAGAATTCATAACCGTTCTGGTGATCCGGACCAAGCAAACCCGTAATTGGGCTAATTCGTTGGCCTTTGTAAGGTTATAGTGGAAAACTCTCTTATTTATTTAGCAACTAACTTTAATCTATATGTTAAGAGAAGCTTTAGCCCTTGAACCTGAAACTACTTTTATGGGCTATCTCAGTGGTGACTGACTTTAAGCGACAAAGCAATGCAAAGTGAGGGTTCGTCGCTTCATGTTGGAAGCCATTTGTTTAGGATAAAGTGTGCGCTTCATTGTACAATGAAACGCCCAAAGCAACCTTACTAGAAACGGTCATTGAATCCGAGGAGTTCTTCATATAGGCACTATTGTATGTTGGATGTTGAAATTGGTTATTTTAGTTGAACTTTGATTATTATAGTACTAAGTTAATAATGTATGGTATTTTTAATCTTTCTTAAAATGTGTGCTTCACTTTAAAGAATTTTTCGGTTTATTTTGTTATTTTCGCTTCACACCCCATGAGCCTTTTCGATGTTTTGGGATTTTTGCTTTTAAGGATACCGGTTCGATCTATATATTTGGGCCTTGGTAAGCATCACTTTTGAAAGACTTATGTTGGATCTAGGGAGAAGCAGTTGTAAGGAGAAAATTGAAATTTTAGTAGTATAATGATGGGCCATGTGGAAAAAGAGGGAAGGGCATGAGTTTAAACCATATGCATGAGAAACATGTTGTTGGAACTAAAAAGAAACAGTAGAGTTGTTTGAGTATGGTTTGAAGCACAGAATGGAGACTTTTATGGGTATGAAATGTTGGGTCATGTGGATGGCTCATAACATCATGTAGATGTTGTGGAAAGAGAGATATAAGTTGAGTTCTTAAGAAAAAACGTCCATTGATAGTACTTTGCTTACCGATAAAAAAGTGTCTAGATAGTATTAAATGTGACCTTGTGGTCAATGAAGTGTGTGCATACCTTGGGGACCAGTTTAAATCCTAGCGGAGAGACAAAAAATTAGGTGATCTCTTTTTGATAAGAGAAATACTAGGTGATTTTGCTTTGGTTGTCATAGTTATCCCGCACTTGTTGCTTCGGGAGGTATGGGTACATTTAACTCTTAAGCTCCTTGGAGCTATAAAGTGTTTTTGTACCTATTTACTTGCTTAGCGTTATTTGGGATTTGAATACTTATTTACTTATAAAAACGGCTCTTTCTTTTATCAGTAAAAGGAAAATTCATTAGTAGCAAAACAGCACTAAGGAGGTGTTGGGCCATTTTGCATCAGGATCATCAGCAAAAAGCAAAAACTGGTTAGCTCTCCTCTATAAACATCACATATCCATGTAAAGATTCTATAGTGTCTAACATAGAGCATCATTTGCCCTACTCCATTTTACACCAAAAGGAAAACAAAAAAAGACAGTTGATTTTTATCTTTCAGACTGGATTAGAGTGACCCTCAAAGCCCCGTTGGTTCCTTTCGTTCCTTAAGGTCCACCCAATGTAGGCTAGGATTGTGATCCACTTCATAGTTTCTTTGTCTTTACCTTTCCTGTATAAGCATCTTAGCAGGTCAAATATAGTCTTAGGCATCGCCAGTTGTAGCCCATCATACACAATATTACAAAAAACAATGGCTCTTTTGAGGAAAGGGGAAAGAGAAGATTTGGAAATTTCCTTTCTGTGCTTTTAGGAGTGAATTTTTGAGAATACAGATTTGTGTTTGAAGTTAAATGGAAGTGGTTAACAAGAGTTAATTTGGAAGATTTTGATACATATGATGAGGCTTAAAGGGAGAAGCTTTGATTCTTCTTATAAGTTGGTAACTAATGGTGTCTTGGTAAAGTATGAGTATGATTGATGGAGATGAGCGAGCTTTCAGGTGAAGGAAAAAAATTCCTTTTCATTTAACTAGCGGAGGATGATTTGTTTTTCAAAGTCATCTCCCATCCCACAAACAGTGGGAAAGGAGAAAGTTTTTGCAGAGATAGAAATTGTACAAGAAATATTGTTAATTACGGTTTCTGACATATATATGTTCCATATATTCCAAAGGAAAATGAAGATATGCTATTTCAAATTATTCCAGGAAAATAAAGATTTTTATTGACACTTTTAGCAGCACACACTTTGTGCTATTTTATATTTATAAAATGTTATCATTCTCAAAAAAAAAAGAAGATTTTTATTGTAAAAGATAGAAATTTGCATTATGCTGCTTCTAGGATCCTCCCCCTCCTTCTCGTTATTGCATTTCCTTGAAAACTTGCATCTTTATGAGCTTCCTTCTTTAATCCCTCTATTAAAGCTGTTCATGAAAGTGTAATGAAAATTTATATCCAAGTGAGTGGGTACTTACTTTTGAATACATGTTCGAGCAGATACCTTGAAGGATGTGTAAGAATATAGTTTTGTTAATCCGAATATTTTGGGACACGAAAGCATAAAAACTAGCTTGAAATTTTGGTCATATTAGAGAAGGAATTGTTAAGTTTTTTTTTCTCCTTTTGAATTTATAAAACAAAAAAAAGAGTATCATTATGTTAAATAGTTATAATGTGACAAATTGAGAAAGTTTATACGTAAATTTTGTTCTGCAGCCGGTAAGGAATTCGTGTCTATTAACTTTGAAACAAGAAAAGTATTGTGTAATTATTGGTATTCTTGTCATGATATCCCTTTATGCGCAATTTTTTTGTGTGATTATTAACAAAATTATTTACTAACTCAAAAAAAGTGCACCATGTAAAGTAGGTCAGGTGTTTGGTTTATACTATAGGAAATATCACCGAAAAAAATAGAGATATGCCAATGCCTGATATATTCTCATATTTTAGAATTTGCCTAATGTGAAGTTGCAGAAAGAATCATTTATTCTCTATATCAAAAGTTAAATTTTATAGTATAAGATCATGCTATTACCTTTTGATAAAGAGCAATCTTGGTGCATAATCTCCAGCTATGCGTAGGGTTCGGGGAACCATTGGGTTTTATGCATGCAAAGTTATCTTGCATTTCTACAAGAGGATGTTTCCTCTACAGGCACTTATTTAAACCTTCTAAAACTAAAGATTGACAAACTCTTCTATTCTACTCTCTCTGGGAATATGGCTTGAATCCGTGATCTCTGGCCACATGGCAACAATTTTAGCCATTACACTGAGGTTCGCCTTCTCTATCTTCCATTAATAAAAGGGCAGCCGCTATGCGCGGGGTCTGGGAAGGGCTGGACCACAAGGGTCTATTGTACACAGCCTTACCCGGCATTTCTGCAACAAGCTATTTCCACGGCTTGAACCCATGACCTCCTGGTCACATGGCAACAATTTTACCAGTTACGCCAAGACTCCCCTTCTCTATCTTCCATTAATGCAACTAAAAAATTGTCAATGTCATACTGCATTAGATCTAGTAGGACACATGTGGGTATATGTTCCATATAGGTGATTCTAAGACAAATCTTTGAGTCTTGCAATAAAAAACGGGTCCAACGGAGCATAATGGATGTTAGGGATTTATATAGCAGACCCTTGTTTGGGATGGAGACATAGCTGTTGATGTATACTACCTTAGGTCTATTGTGGATGGGTGCTTTTGAATTTAAAAGCAATTTTGACCTTGTCTTTCGACCCACTTATCTGTGTAAATTCTTTATTCTTCTTGCCAAATCATCTTGCCTGGTCAAATTACCCAAGGAAGCCTAGACAGGGAGTGAGTGAGGAACCAATACGCTGATAATTGTTCGTGCTATTTTATTTATTTTTTTTGCATTTTTTTCTCAGGTGTTTTTTTTTCTTGCAATCAAATGTATTAAGCAAGAGTATTTGGCTGTTACAGGGTACCGAATGCCAAAGCCGGCAGAGAGTCAACAGATATTGAAGTATATGGAATGCAAGGAATCCCACCTGATGTCTTAGCAGCTCACTATGGAGAGGAAGGTATGAGCATCATAGTGATGTGCTTGAATTTGGCATTTGAGTGACACGGAGGAGTCTTATGGTTTGCTGAATTGTGACAAGTAGAGAAGTTACTTTTGCGGTCTTGTCTTGCTTGCTATACCATTGTATTGTTACTATTGAATAGCAACTAATGTGGCAAGAATGTTCCCTTAACTTGGTTTTAGGAACTTAAATTCAGGGTGTTGAAAACTTGAAATAGTGCTACTGAAGTTCAGGGCATTAGTTTGAATATGGTTAAAGAAGTAGCTATCTGGAGCTTGTATCATATTAATGTCTTATTTCTATTGGGTGTTAAGTCTGTGTTTCAGTATGGGCTCCTGACTAGTTCTACTTCTGTATAAGCGTGGAACTCGCAGAAATCGGAAGCTTGTTTTTAAGTTTCCAACCTTGCATCTGCTAAACTAAAAGCAATTGATGTTCCGATTTCTCTACTTGCTGTCCTCTGGTTTTTATGTGTTTAAGCTTTTAGTACCTTTGTGTTTGAGCTTTTATTGACTTCCTTTATCTCATCTTTGAGTTAATATGAGCGTATTACCTTGTCAGCTTTCTGCAGATCTTTCCCATAGATTCTGCTAGAGTTGTCTGTTCTAGCTTCTCTACTTACATGACTACATAAACCCAAGTTTGTTCTCTCAATGGCTTTTATTTTCCTGCAGATGATGAGGCCCCAGCAAAAACTGCCAAAGTGGACATTCCATCATCCCAGTATGTTGGTGGTGCAATTCCAGGATACCCTCCCCGGGCACCTTTTGGTGCAATGCCACCACTGTATGTTAGTCGTGGAAATGCTTTTTTTATGCGTTCAGATTTCCTTGTGCTTGAATAAATTAGGATACTTACTTTTTCATTTTACTTATCACAAAGAAAAAACTTCCGATATTTGGGATTTGAGAGAAAATATACCCCCATAAGTTGCGAGACACGATCTCTTCATTTTGTTCTTGAAGTCCGGAGTCAATTCATTTTTATCTTTTCTATCAAAGCATATGTTCTCCTTGAATAAGTTTTGTTTAAGATGGAATCTGTCATTCGTGTCGGTTTATCAGTATCAAGGAGTATATTCCTTGAATAAGTTTGTGTGTAAGAGAGAATAAATGCAAAGAAAAATTCGTACTTCTTGAAAAAGAAAAACTTTTACAATTTTGACTAGTAACACAGCTATCAATTTTAGCAGAAGTCTCTTGTACTAAAGTTTAGTTCTTTTATAGTTGATTCTGGTCTTTTTGAGGACTACAAACTGCTTTTACATCTGACCATTACCTAATGTTTCTTGATTTCTTCTGAAAGATTCCTATGTTAGGATCTGTATTACTTGGTCAAACGAGCAGAATAATGAATATATGAGATTAGGAATCTAGCTCTTTAATATAGTATATCCCAGATCTGACTTTGTTATAGTTATGACTGATGGTGTGGCATACCTAAATAAATTTTGTCAACAATTGGTCTGTAAAGAATTCTAGCGCTAGTTTTTCAGGTGTCCAGCAGCTTGGGTTTCAGTATTGAAGTTGACCCATTTCTTCCTTGTTATAGTTAGCCTTCTGGCATATAGATAAAATAGAATTATGTCTCCAAGGGAGGGCTGAGTAGTTGAGGGATAGCAGTAACAATCTTGAAATTCCATGTTTGAATCCCAACTACAACACTGATATGAACTGGCACGGCAGCACTTATGCTTGTGGGCTCTAACTGGCTACTCGGTGGACTAGTCGAGGAGACCATCGTCACAAAATAAAAAAGATAATAGGGGAAATTTTATCCTTGGCATTTTTATCTTTTTGTTAACCTTTTCTTCTACATTCTGTTGTTTATTGGCATGCTTTGAATTTATTAACTTTGAATCAGCACCTCCAATAGGTATATAAATTCTTACATGGATCAGATTTTTTTTTTAAAAAAAATCTTACATGGATCTGGCCTGTTTGTGCAGCTATAATCCTGCTGTGCCAATGCCTCCCGCTGGTTGGCCAGTCCCCCCTCGGCCCCAACCTTGGTATCCGCAATATCCTGCTGTCTCGGTTCCACCTCCTGCACCAATGGGTCTGCCGCAACAACCATTATTTCCTGTGCAAAATGTGAGGCCTCCAATGCCAGCTATTGCACCACCAACGCTTGTCGGTCCTCCAGGCCTCCCAGCATCTAACACACCTGTTCCCGTGTCTCAGCCCTTGTTTCCTGTTGTTCCTAATAACAACAACCTTGCCCAAAGTTCACCATTTTCAGCGCCAATGCTGTCAACAAGTGTGCCATTGAGCTCTGCAGCTGATGCAAAGAGCTTAATTGACCCAAACATGGGCAACAACACTCCTGCCACCATTGGTTATCAGATTTCAGGTATTCAAGGTCTTCTGTTGTAATATCTTATCCATTCTGTTAAAGGGCTGACACTTTCGACATGGTTCTTGTTGGGGATTTACTTATTGCCAATTTACTGTTGTGACACCAGGTAGGATAAGCAACTCTGTTCTGATCCATTAGTAAGAAGTAGTATTCCTTGATTGTTTTTGGAATTGAAATGCAAAGCCTGTTTGTTGTCCTTGATTCTATCAAAACTCTGTAGCACTGTGCCATTGTTACTGCTTATTGTTATTGCTTTTCCTTCTGCTTTCTGGTTATCACGTTGTTGGTGTTATCTATCTGACTTCCTTTGATGTTACTGCTCTACTGTCCTTTACCATTGTCGTGAGCCGAGAGTCTATCGGAAACAACATTTTTAGTCCTCCGGAGTAGAGGTAAGGTCTGCGTACACACTACCCTCCCCAAACCCCACTTGTGGGATTCAACTGGGTCGTCGTCGTTGTTGTTGTTGTTGTTGTTCTTAGATGAGGTGATAGTGTGAATTTTATTTGATGCACATGCACGTATATTTCGGTGAGAAATCAGAATATAGTGGAAAGTCCATGGTGTCAGATTATTTTGTTGGTTTTAACCTTGTAATACAATATTTAGTATTGATAGTGGGAATTAATTTAGGTGTCATAAAACACTACTATGGATCCATGGGTGAAAAAATGGGACAAAAGGGTTCTTAGGTGCAATTTTTTTTATATTGATGAATTTTGACTTTTGAAGCTGTTGGCCTTACAGTATTTGTACAGCATGCATTTTTCTCTTATTTCTGACTTGAATCCTTGTGTAAGACTAGAAAAGAACATCCTATTTCTTCCTCAGATAATATTTTCCGTTAAATATTATGCAAGTTATCTTGCCTGAATCTCTGCTCTGATAGAGTTTTTGTTGGGTGGTAGAGTTTGATTTATGCTTTTTATCGGTCAATTTTGGCTATATGAGTTATACTTTTGTAAGAATGAAGGCTCATATAGAACGTGGAAAAGCTCTCTTCTTCATTTCTCATTTCATTCTCTCTTTTCTGCAGCCCCAGCACCAAT